GTGATGTCTCAAATGCGTAAAATGCATTTTTGTCACATAATTTAAATTTTTCAGTAGAGGTTCTAAGTGACCACCGTTTTTTTAATACAAAATTTAACACGTATAGGTAACTTATCTTACTAATAAATAGAAATAGGAAATAGTGTTAGTTTTTTTTTTCAAAACGACCGGGTTCGATTCCCCAGCTGACCACAGGGTTTTTCTTAAATGTATGAATGCAGTTTTAATTTTTATTAAAATCGATGACATAGTTCCTAAGAACAGATCTTCGTATATATTATAGTTCAAACTTTCCCATACTGACCCATTTAAATGAGCCATCTTGTATACTCTCATATTAAATTTTTGACCATTATATAATTATTTGCCGAACAAGGATTGCTGCCTGATTTTTTAAATTGCTTACAAAATCTTTTTGTGCCGACCAAATTATTTAAAGGCTGACCAATTATATACTTCTCATGAAACATTAGTTTTTGTGTAACCTCCTTCTGCATTTAATACGTCTTGTAAACGTTTCCTCATGGAACCAACTACCTTCTCACAAAAACCTCGACCTCTGAACGATTCCCAAACATCATTTGCATGTCGCCTTAAGGCTTCTGTTGTTCGACATTGATTCCCATCCCACTCTTGCACCATTTTACCCCAAAGGTTTTCGATGGGATTGAGGTCTGGACTTTTTGGTGGTAGTTTGATTAAAGTTAGTTCTCTCTGTTCATTAATCCATGTCTGTACTGTACGAGCATTATGTACTGAGCTGTTGTCTTGAAGGAATGTCATTTGTTGTTCTGGATAAAAACTTGAGCTGTAGGAAGAAAAGTATCTTCCAGAAGTTCCTTATAATTCATTGCATTCATTCGTCCACTTATTTCCACAAGCTCACCAGGACCATCTTTGCACATCCATCCCCAAAATCCAATTGAAATACGTCCACTCCGGCGATTAGGCAGCACATTTTGTTCTAAGTAACATGTTTTTTCGGGTCGCCACAAACTTAATCGCCCATTATCTGATGAGCAGAGAACCTTTTCGTCCATGAAAATAACGTTTTGAAAATTAAAATTTAAATAATTAGCTGCAAATTGTAGCCGCTGCATTTTGTGCCTTGGCGTGAGAGTTGGTTTTTTGCCGGTACTCTATTTTTTAAACCTCCTTCTTTTAATCGTCTTCTAATGGTGCTAGTGGATATTACGAATGTGCTTGAAAATTGTGTAGTGTTTATAAATCTGTCATTTTTGGCTTTATCTATAATAGCTATGTCTTGGTTATTTGTAGTAATACGCGGGCGACCAAATGAAACATGATTATTTAATGTTTCTCCTTGCTGCCATCTTTCTAGCCATAAATATACAGTATTTCTCTGAAATAAATACAATTTTATACTTTGTGAATAAAGTTTCATGTTTTGTGGGCAATTGATTTTTAGCATTTTTCTCCGTGATACTTACGGCTATCCCTAGCTCATCGGCGATATCTTTTACGGATAAACCATCATTTTTTAGTTGTATTATTTTATGTTTCATTTCCGCATCAATACGGTACGAACTCATATTAATTATAGTTAATTTATGGTATGAACTAATACGTAAGCAAGCTGCTTGAATTTATTTGTGCATGACACATGACAGAGGTGATAAGAATAAAAACTGGAAAGTGTTTAACTGCCAGCGTCATCTTATTATAAATAAATAATTAAGAGGTCCTATTAAAATTGTTCAGATATTTTTGAAAAGTTGTATGTTCAGATATTATTGACAGGCATCTGCTCAGATATTATTGAAGTAATGAATGATCAGATATTAATGGTCACTTGTAGTGTATAGAACTTATTGACATTTTAACTGTTCAGATGTATTTGGTCATCTTGTATGCTCAGATATATCTGATGGCGACTGTACCTACTTACTTAAAATGACCGCGAATCTTAATAAACTTGATTAGTTAAAAATATTCATACTCAAAAGCTTCTAAATAACAAATAAGGAAATCTATAAATAATGGTTTGAAATGTAGAATTTTACTTTCAGTTATATATCTATATAGTTCGTGGAAGACCTCAATGCTAACGTAATGGGTTCGATTCCCAAATGACCATTAGACTTCTTAGCAAACATCTAAATAATGATAGGAAATAAAATATCTTCAGTGAGCATAGGTACACAAGCACACAAGTGGCTGAACGGTTGCTTAAGCAAACGCCAACTTAAAGTTTAAAGATCATGTCATCTTTCAATTAAAAAAATGCATCCAGAGTAATATAAATACTACTCTTTGATCCAGAGTATCCGTCCATTCGTATAGTTTAGAATTTTAGTTAAACACGTTTAACTTTATAACACTTGTTATTATATTTCCGCCTGGTGTTAAAATTAACCTATAAACTTGAGTATGATAAGTACCTACATATAAAATTATTACAAATCACATCAATTACCTGTTTTTAAAGTTAGCATTTGCTAACGTTCGAGTTACTTGCCTGATATCACAGTTAAAATCATTCAAATCCGTCAACCGTTATTTCAATTTCCCATCTGGGGCAATGAAGATCTGATCTGAATGAGAAGATACAAAGAAACTTGGCACGTAGCGAATTAACGAAACTAACAGCCTAGCAAAACTAGCGAAGGAGAAAACAGAAGAATTAGGAAAAAGCCCAATTAACGAAAGTGTCAACCTACCGAAACTGTCTAATGAGTAAAATGGTGAATTAGTGCAATTAGAGTAAGGAAGCTGACCAGGGGGCCAATCGTCTAACGGAAATGCTTTGGGAAACTCTAACGCTTACGATTTTATATTGTTATTTCTAGCCGCCTGAGGTTTTCGAATACCTCACGCTCATTTTTTTATATTGTTATTACCAATGCAAAAGAAAAAGAAAGAGCGCGAGGCATTTGAATACCTCAGGCGGCTAGAAATAACAAAATAAAATCGTAAGCGTTAGCGTTTTCAAAGCATTTCCGTTAGGCGATTGGCCCCCTGGGGAACATTCGCCTAACGAGATTGCTTTGGAAAACGCTATCGCTTACGATTTCATTTTGTTATTTCTACCCGCCTGATGTTTTCAAATGCCTCGCGCTCTTTTTTTTTCTTTTGCATTGTTAATAACAATATTAAAGAAATGAGCGTGAGGTATTTGAAAACCTCCGGCGGTCAGAAATAACTGACAGAATGAAATCGTATGCTATAGCGTTTTCTGTTTCTGTGCTGCTAACTTATCGAAAATATCCCTAGAAAGGTGTCTCTACTGTAAGATTAAGGTAAGGAGCTCGATGGCGCAGGTGGTTAGCGTATTCGACATGCAACCTGAAAGTTGAGCAACCTTCGCAATGGTCGGTTGTTGGATGGGTGACCCTAAACTTATTATCTTGACCTTGCTTCGAAAGGCACATTAAGCTGTTGGTCCTCCCGGCTGCATCTGCAGTCATTAGCACCCACCAATTCGCACTTAGCCCGCGTAATTGTCCATCCATAAAAAGGCTTGTGCAACTGCAGTGGGGACATCATTAAGCCCTTTGATTATTATTATTTAAGGTCATGGTCTGTAGAAAATAGAAAGGGCAAAAACCATAACCCATACTCTGATGTGAACTTACTACTCTAAAATTATTTAACGATCATGTAATATTTTTGCAAATAAATTCATACACCTACAAAATTACATTTTACAGTTCCATAAATACATTGCCATCTTACATATTATACCTTTTAATACCACGTGTAAATTTTGAACTGCTTTGCAAAAATTTCAACGAAATCGGGGACCGTATAGTTGTGATATTTGTTAAATTTTAAGACATTGCTGGCACCATGATTCATAGGTACGTTTTAAAGTGACAAACATAAATAATTTTATAAACGATTTAGACAGCTTTAATGTATCTGTGCTTGTACACTCTGATTGTGATCCAGAAGAATGCAACACTTACCTTTCAAAGCCGGGTTTATATCTGAAAGTTCTCCAACAAAATATAAGAAGTATTAATCGCAATTTTAGCGAACTCTAAATGTTACTTGCTCGACTTAAAATGGACTGTGACATCTAAGATACTGAATATGAACAGTTAAAACAGTTTTATAAGTAATCAGAACTACAATCAAAACGACGGTGTAGTCATATACAGGGCGTCCCACGGAGGGAAAGTATATTAAATATAGGACTAGCAAACCAGTGAACCAAATGTTCACCAAAAAAAAAAGAAAAATAAAATGAATTTAATTAATTGAGAACTTCGGAGATTTTGTGTGGTTTCGTTTGAAATAGAAATCACGTGATTTCTCGAAAACCGGAAGTGCTACGTTACTCAAATCCGGTTTGTATTCTTATCAGACTATTCTTAACTTATAACTTAAACATTCTCTTTATCTATCTCTTACGGTTTGGCCGCTGAAACAGCACCACGGACGGACGGACGGACTTGTCTATTAGATAAGAGATATTTTACTGAAAGAAGACATCATTCTATTTTTAATAATAAGTAGAACTGCATGCACAGTTTTTATAATTCGCCTGCCACAACCGGGAATCAAACTTGTGGAATGTGAAAAAAAAACCACATGCTATTAGACTCGAGTCTCCACACACTTTAATGTATGTATATCTAAGATGTATATTAATAACCAATGTATACTATGATCTGTGAATGTTTGATAGAGAAATAAATTATTATTATTAATTCTTCGGTCCGAAGCACAGACTAGTAAATGATTTTTATTAACAGATCAAAGCCTAAAACCCATGATATATAGAAAATTTGGAATTTGCTGACCCTGACTGAGTGATCTCAACTGATAGATCTAAAACTTCAAAAAGATAACAGTCGGTGACAAAGCTGTCTTGTAAACGCATCCTATATCCTTTGCCTTAACTATCAAGTGAATGTGTGACAGGCAAACTGTCAAAAAAATCAGCTGCTGAACTTTTCTAACCTTGACTGGAAATAACGGGATTTAATTAAATACAATTACAATGTTTTTGTTGATTTAAATCAAAGTTAAAAATGAATCGTCTCATTTATATTTATAGGAGTGGTAGTAATTGCTTAAGAAACAATTATATTTTGTGTTCAATACATGCTAGACAAAAACCTGTAAAAATTGTTCAAAATGTTATCTCCCGGGAGATTCACGAGCAAAAGAAAAATATTAAATCAACTCTTAACTACATGATTGCTCTCGGTGTAATGACTGTAGGGTTAAGTTATGCCGCAGTACCGTTATACAGAATATTTTGTCAAGTAAGTTAGTGCTTCTTTCACAGTAATAAATAAATAATTATTGACTTTTTTTTTGTATATAAATAATAATTATTGACTGAAAGTGTTACATGCTGATCACTAGATGAGTTATGTTATTATAAGTAAATAATAATTGTTATACTAATATTTCAGGCTTATAGCTATGGTGGTACAACTGGGCAAGCAGAAGCAGATGAGTCAATTAGCAATATGAAGGCAATCAAATCAAGACCTATTAAAATTAGATTTAATGCTGATGTAGCTTCTTCCATGCAGTGGAACTTCAAACCCCAACAGACAGATATCACCGTAAGAATTCTTATGTACAGTTTACTTTAAAGAAGAAAATAATGCAATATAAAATAAATAACGAAGATGTCATCATCATCATCATCAGCCTATTAATGTCCCCACTGCTGGGGCACAGGCCTTCCCTATGGATGGAATAGGGAGATTGGGCAATGACCCACCACGCAGGCCCAGTGCGGATTGGCAGGTACTAACGACTGCAGATGCAGCCGGGACCAACAGCTTAACGTGCCTTCCGAAGCATGGAGAAACTCGAGATAGAAAATTTTTGGTCACCCATCCAATGACCGACTAATGCAAAAGTTGCTTCACTTCAACGATCGCAGCCGAACGCGCTAACGACTTCCGCCATCGAGCTCCTCATTCTCCTCCTCAATGAAGATGAGATTAATACATTTGAGATCAGCCTATATTGATTTTGGGCTTGTATAGGTTTAAGACCAAAAGTTGATTTTACCTTAGTGCTAAAAAACTTTTTTTGTTATTGATGTATCCTTTTTTGCTTTTGTAGCCTATATATTCAAATATATATAACTATATTCATATATAAAGGTACTAAAACAAAAAGATACATTAAAGCATTGTAAATAAATAGGTTTTTCAGCTTTCATGTAAAATTAACTTTGGTATTTATGACCTTTGAGTCCATCAATTAATTAAGTCTATCAATATGCGGTGTGTTAACATTAAATTACAAAGCAATTATTATACAACATTGATATTTTATGTTAGGTGGTGCCTGGAGAAACCGCCCTGGCATTTTACACGGCCCGCAACCCAACCCAGAAGCATGTGACAGGTATCAGCACATACAACGTCATACCGTTTGAAGCAGGACAGTATTTCAATAAGATACAATGTTTCTGTTTTGAAGAGCAGCAACTCAATCCACAGGAACAGGTAAAAAATTGTATTTACTGTTCAAATTATACTCTTACAGCTATTAACATTTACTTATGTAAAAAAGTATAACAGGATCTCCTTGATTGAGTTATAACCTGAAATGGATTCTAAAGAAATGTTGTTCATATACACAGTCAGGTCATAAGTATTGTCACACAGTAAAAACTTTCCTTTTAGAATGCTGGACACAAAAAAGTTTATTGAATTCGAGTTTCAAATTGTTGATGAAAATAAAAATGTATACTTTTTAGAATTTTACTCATTTTTAAATATGGACGGACGCTTAAAGAAGACCGTGTTGCAGTTATTGCCTTGCATCGTTGCGGTTACGCGCCAATTAAAATTTTTGACACACTGAAAAATTTGAATATAACCAAAAGATTCGTTTATCGTACCATCAAACGATACAATGAAGACTCGTGTAGATGACAGGTCAAGAAGTGGTCGCCTTCGGTCTGTTAGGAGTCCAGCAGTAATAAAAGCTGTGAAGGCGCGAATTCAAAGAAATCACAGACGTAAGCAGAAACTGTTGGTCCTTCAGATGGGGTTAAGCAGAACCACGGTGAAAAGGGTGTTAAATAAAGACTTAGGGCTTCGGGCATATCGAAGAAAAACAGGACATCGTCTGAATTCTCGTCTAATGGACCTGAGACTGAAGAGATGCCGCGCTTTGTTTAAGCGGTACGCGGGTAAAAAATATGGGGAAATTCCTTTTGTGGATGAAAAAATTTTTACCTTAGAAGAGAGCTACAACAAACAAAATGATAAGGTGTACACACACAGTAGTGAAGAAGCCAGCAACCGTATTCCACGTGTCCAACGAGGTCATTTTCCATCCTCGCTCATGGTATGGTTGGGAGTTTCTTATTGGGGCTTAACAGAGGTACATTTTTGTGAGAAAGGTGTAAAAACGATAAAATTACGGATAAGTACCTCAAATCTTGTGTCAAATATTTCTACTTTCGTTTCATCGAATCTAAATTTGATACTAAAGAAGTTTTTACTTCAAAATTCCATCGACCCTGGTAGCCGCGACCCCGTCGTTTAAAGGGATGGATGGCACATACCAAGTATAATCTACGTGTTTTTTTAACGGGGCGGTTAGCAGAGACTAAGATGCATCAGCTATGGCATATGCCCCGTTACGAGTTCTATTAGTTTTATGCAAACACACTGCCTGATTCTACAAGAGAGGTCCTTGATAACCATCTTCTGTTTATTTCCCATCACAACTTATGGGATCTTTATTGTATTTAAAACCCTAACTTTACTAAAGTTTTATTTATACATTAATGAAGAAAGGAACAATAAAAAAGCCAGTCCTTTTTTTCTATCCCTCGATCCATTTGACCGGGTTGGATGGTACCAACTCCCCTGCCCTACCTGTAATCACTGTTGCCCCATCTTGTATACAACTCTGGATATGGCCCTGCATGACAGGGATATCATCATCATCATCATCATCCTATTAATGTCCCCACTGCTGGGGCACAGGCCTTGCCTATGGATGGAATAGGAAGATTGGGCCATGACCCACCACGCGGGCCCAATGCGGATTGGTGGGTGCTAACGACTGCAGATGCAACCGGGACCAGCGGCTTAACATGCCGAAGCACGGAGGAGCTCGAGATAGTAAATTTTTGGTCACCCATCCAATGACCGACCACTGGGAAAGTTGCTTAACTTCAACGATCGCAGCCGAACGCGTTAACCAGTTGCGCCATAGAGCTCCCAGGGATACTGCTGTTAAATTTAGGGCTTAGAATTATTTGCCAGCCACAGGGGCGTATTGACAAATCTGACCACTCCACTTAAGTAAATTAAATCGAAATATAGATCAGTAACAAATGCCTTTATTTGGTTTCTGCCGCCTCTCGCAGCCTCCGCGCCCATACCATGGCCCTCAAAAATGATACGAAAGCTCTCAAAATACCTAATACAAATAATAAATAAATAAATATTTCCAACACTCAAGCCAATTAGGCTAGCCCCAAAGTAAGCACTGTAAGGCTTGTGTTATGGGATGCTAGGGTAACGGATAGAATACATATACAGTACTTAAATAAGTATATTTATATAGATATACATAATTAAACATCCATGACTGGAGTACAAATGCTCGTGTTCATCACAGAAACATCTGCCCACACCGGGATTCGAACCCGGGACCTCTCGAGTCGGCGACACCATGAAACCCGGCGTACAAACCACTCGGCGACGGAGGTCGTCAAATTATAATAATGAAAATATTTTCAGGTGGATATGCCAGTGTTCTTCTACATTGACCCTGAATTTATAGAAGACCCCAGAATGGAATTTGTGGATGAAATCATACTTTCATACACATTCTTTGAGGCTAAAGAGGGGATGAAGCTACCCGTACCCTCATATGTGAAGAACTGACCAGAACTCGAGTGATGTAGTTTAGTGTTTGCTTCAGACTTTAATTTCCATACTAGTGATTGACATTATTTTGTTAAGTTTTCAATTTTTACCATAAAATTATTTTTATTGAGATCTTGTTTGGTTTTATTGCAAGTATGATATCTTGCACTTCCTTGTTACTCCAAACTTCTGTATATATTAAAAATCAAAAAACCGACTGCTTTTCAGTTTTGATACTTCAAATAAAAACTGAAAAGAAAAAAACAAGTCCAGTAGTCTATAATTCTGTTAATAAGGAACAAAGCTACTTTAACAGTCGGGACCCATTATTGAAAAATATTGTGTATTCTTGAATATCTAATGGGTTTGCCCAATTAAGTCTGGAGTAACACTCGCATGATTGAGACGAATCGATTGATGTATGAATCATCAAAATCGGTCCAGGCGACTGTTAAACACTATACCCTGTCTGCGCTTCGCGCTCTTGCATTGCGCAGTCGGGTAAAAAACCCTAAAATATTAAGGTATGCACTAACGGATCAGAGGCCTAGCATGAGCACTGCTATTTGATATATAGCAGGTTTTAAGCATTCAATTGTCAAATTACTATGGATTTTGATAGTTGGACACGATAAAAACGTGTTAAAATGTATAATGTAGTGCTCATTCAAAATTCAATTCACAATTCAATATCGTTTATTCAGTCTAAACTGTTACAAGCACTTGTGAATGTCGAAATGCTACGCCATCGGTTCGCAAATCTACGGCGGGAGACCTTGTACTGAGAAGAACCGGCAAGAAACTCAGCAAGGGCTGTTTTTTTCTCCCTGTATTGTATACAGAGTCGTCAAATTGAAAAATGACTTCAATATGAGGTAACTCATAAAGTCACTTTCCATTACAAATGCAAATAATATAAAAATTATGACTATATAAAAAACTGATTTAACAAAGTTTAGGAATGCACATGCTACAGGGACTGGGTGAGCAGCCTCGCAACGCACGGCTTATGTGCCGGCTGTCTCGGAAAATATTAAAACAAAGAGACAGCAGGCCAGATTTAGCGTTCCAAGCAAAATTTGATATATACACATCCAGGCACAAGCCTTTTAAGTTTTGATGGTTCCTAGCTAATATTAAATGTTACATTGAGCAAAAAGTTTAGTTGCCTACGCAGTTTTGAAGTTGATTTATTAACCATCTTTTCGTGTTTTTAAAATTCTTGCTCAACCATGAACCCTTATTTACTTTCTAGGTAGAGCTACACCTTGTAAACACTACGAGCCAGCGAGTCAATTATACTTTAGTGATATAATCGTAACGTGATGTCAATATGATGTTCATGCCAAGTTGACATTGTTTTAAAATGGTATTATGAAACATTCCTATGTCACATCAAGATCATATCAATATCATATCATATATCCTGTATCACATTTTTGACGTTTATTCGATACTGTTTTAAGTCAAAAAGTTGAACGTAATACGCATTTAAGTTGATATCATTTTAAAGAGTTGATCGTAATACGCATAAGTTGATGTCATTTTGATATCGCATTTTTCGGAGAGCATAATACGTAATGTGAAATTGACATCAAAACAATATCATAATTAGCGAGCATAATTGGCCTGCAGATTTTTAAGTATTCTACACTTGTGTGCGTGTCACGCAAATTTATTGTCGGACAGAATAGAACTGTCTTGATAGCAGCAACAGTACGTCACAGCCCCATGTACTGATCGCGGTCGAAGAATAGCGTGGTAGGGTTTTTTATCAAACTTGGTCACTCGTTTCTGGTTTATTAATGAAACAAGTACGTCGTGTAGTACGATTTGTTGTCGGACAGTAGGGAACTATGGCTGTATTCCGTAATATATACCAGTATACTGGTCAGTGCTAATGACGTCAAGAATCGACGCTATACTGGTGAATTGTTCCATAATATATTGGCCAGTGCACTGACGTCATAAATCGACGATCGATCGTCATATTCAAAATAGTGCGAATAAAGAAGATTTTTTATTCACCTCATCAATTAAAAGGAATTCTTTTTGTTCGGATGCCAATATTGTTCTTTAAATAAAAAAGAAATAAAATTCGAATGCATCTCACGCACGCTCGGTCATACGTCATATTCGTTTTCCCGGTAAAAATATGGTAGCATACCAGTACAATATGGCGTCGGATTCGTGACGTCATTACCACTGGCCAGTATCCTGGTATATATTACGGAATACACTCTATGGGTGCGGCCAGAGTGCACTCAGATTCAGATTCAGATTCCGAAAACAAGCGGGAGAAATAAACAGTGTAGTCGAAGGGTACGGCCAGATTGCACTCCTGATTCAGATTCAGATTCAGACTCAGAAAACAAAGCGCGAGAAAAAGCAGGCAACCTGCTTAGACTACACTGTTTATTTCTCGCGCTTGTTTTCAGAATCTGAATCTGAATCTGAGTGCACTCTGGCCGCACCCTATGACTTGATGACAGCAGCGACAGTGCACCCACGGCGCAGGCCAACGCATTGGTCTTGTTGCGCAAGTCAGCCTCAATCGTGTTCCAAGTGGCGGGTACTATTGGACGTTTTAATTATCAATGAAACAAGCGCGTGGTGTAAGTTAGTATAGTTTATTGTCAGATAGTTATACGCAATTATGGCTTGATGGCAGCGGTGACGGGGTACCCGCGTCGCAGCCCCATGCACTGGTCGCGGTCGATGAACAGTGTGGTGGTCTTGTTTCTCAGATCGGCCTCCAGCCCGGCGCGCACGCCTAGCAGTGTTTGGTGCGTGCCCTCCGCTGTTGCGATCTTAGAGCGGAGCGACTCCATCGTCTCTTGGAGATCGCACACTTCCTTCACCAGCCTTGGCAATTGGAAATCTCCGTTTAGTTCAATACTATTAGTTGAAAGGACGCGAAAGAAATTTACTTCTATATAATGCCAGTATAGGAGAGCGTAGTGCGTCGCGGTGCTTATGGTAATGGTATAGACCACAGAACACAGAAAAGGGTGATCTTACATCGTTTATTCGTGAACCGATGGCGCAGGCTCGCCCCCAACTAACTTGCACCTAATAGATAATAGCCAATCAAACGATGCGACATCAAACAACCGAACACCCGAGAGCAACGACGCAATCAGGACCAAGTTTTGGCCAAATTATGAGCATTTGCTCACATATAGGGTTACAATATCTCAGGATTTGTCCTGAGATTTCAGGATTTTTGGACTCTTCTCAGGATTGCGGCTGGATTTTGCAAATCTCTTGAAATCTCAGGATTTTTTGAATTTTCAATAAAATACAGCTAACATTTTAAAAATCTGTTTAATAAAAACTTAAACAAACTAAAAATAATCTTCCTTTGATAATAATTGCATAGTTAAAATCAGTACTTATTTATCCAAGTAGATACTTGATCAGTTTTATCATACTAAGTATGTGATGATACATTATTAAGTAAGGTTTTTTCTTTAATTATGGATTTATAAAATGCCACACATGTGAAGCTCTTCAATATTGAATTAAAAGTATAAGGAGCGTGTACATAAACGATAATATTACGACTTTTCTAAATTGTTAAGTACGTTTGAGAGAAAATTCTCAAACTGTAAAAATCTCAGGATTTTTCTTTTCTCAGGACTTTTGATTTTTTCATCTGGTAACCCTACTAACTATAACGCGCCTGCTCCGCCCACAATTCCCTTCTAACCTTTTCTGTGTTTTGTGGTACGGACGCTGTTATGGTACGGAACGGACACTAAGCTAAAAGATGACCAACATCGAAAATATATAATTTGGGTGAGCTATAGTAAAGACCATCTTCTTCATGATGCAGGCCATTATTTCATAATAATGCAACACACCGGCGCGGCGGTGGTGATGCGCCACATAAAGTGGGGACTTACAGAATATTGGTGGCGAAAACTGATCGAAATACTTCTTCTTCGTCTTTTTAACGCTACTTGCTTATTTGTTTTTCTGAAACATGCTTGGAAATGTGAACATTATTTTGACAACCTTCTTCGAGATAAATTGAAATTGCTGTACCTACAGGCCGGTTGTATGAAAATCCATCTGTCGTGTTTGGCGGCCAAATAATTTACAAGACATACTAAACTCATATCTGTCCTGTAATTTGAAAATGGAACATTCTTTGACTCCGAAACATAGTAACCAAGGAGGTAACTTATAAAAAAAATTATTACGAACGGGAATGCAAATAGAAAGCTGTTTATTGAAAAAAAAATACAAATGACTACTCACGCATTGATTTTGAAAAGGAATTATTTAGTTTTAAATTCCGCGCATTATTTGAGCAAATTGCTATACAAACTTTATCCTCAACTAGGCATTGATGGACTTACATTTACACGTTCGTCCATCAATGCCTCTTTAGCTGGCCGCTGCAGTAATGTATATTCATCAACAGACCCGTCTTTCCCAGTGGGCACTTTGGGCAAGGCGATCGATAGGGGGCCCCCTCAGATCAAAAACAAAGTCCCTAGTTCCTGTAGAATCACCAAACGGAAGTCATAGGGCCCCCATTATTCTTATATGCCCAGGGCCTCCAATAGGTCAAAGACGACACTATGTTCATCAATATCTACAATAGGGATGATGACTAATTTTTTTTTCTTCGTTTATCAGGTAGATTATCAAAAAGTATTGGACACGTATTTTTTCTTATTTCACATTATATAAACATTGCAGAGATATATTGATTTGAAAAGTCGCATGACGTCACCTTTTGGTACAATTTTCACTTAAAAGTAACGTCACGAGCCCCTACTCCCAAACCTTGACGCGCTATAACTTTGTAATTTTTTGGTTGATTGCCCAAAGAAAAAATACGTGTGCATTATTTCTGATCGTCTAACTGACGGACTAAATAGAATTTTGTTTACTGTACTCTGTCTAGTGGCGGCGCTAAGCGTCGGCGACGTCGGCCACCGCCGACGGCCTCGCGCCTGAGGGGGCCTCGCAAAAAATTTTTACAAGTTACCTATTTATTTTCGTTTCTCCTGGCCTGGCTTAAGTAGCCGACCCCGAACAATTCGGGGAAAAAGCTAAGCAGATGATAATGACTTTTATTATTTTCGAACATGTGCGTGATGGAAGCGAGAAGTACTTTACGGGTATTCAGAATCGTCTGTCTGGCAACACTATTTTTGTAATTAAATTTCTATTTTTTTAATTATTTTTTGTCATCATTTGATTATCAACAATAAAACTCGTTTACTCATACGTTATTTGATAATTTGGCTCACTTTATTTAACGGTCTTTTACTGCGAAGTAAAATAGGCCTCGCGAACTTGATGTCGCCGACGTCCACATGTGTTCTAGCGCCGCCACTGACTCCGTCAACACCCCTATTGTGTGTGTGTAAGATGAGTTTGCATAATTATCGTCTCTCATGATGTCGCGATGCTCGTGTCTAAGGAAAGTAATATTTATGTCACCGGTGCTGAGCATCGTCGCGGCACTTCTCCAGGTGTGGGCGGTTGGTGCGCGCCTGCAGCCGCGTGTGCGCCACCTTCATGGGCTGCAGCTTGTCCTCGATGGCCTTGTTTAGCAGCTCCAGCGTCTTCTCCACGTCAAAGATCTCCTGCTGGATCTGTCAACACCGGCTCCTTTAAACCTTTATCTACGACGTTTTCATCAGAAAAGGATAGGTTCTTGCTTGGACAAGGATAGGTTCATGCGAGAGTAGCTAGAAGGACGGCTCTCATTAAACACTCCAAAACAATAAGGGGGCGTCCATAAATTACGTGAGGTGTATTTTTGAATTTTCTGTCCCACCCTCCCCCCCTGGTGAGATGTCTGGAGATTTTTTCAACCCCCTCCCCCATCCCCCGATCTCACGTGAGATTTTTCAAAATGTGGGTTTCTTACGTAAACGTGTTGGATTGTTACAAATATGGTGGTTTGACAGTCATGTATAACGTCGAACTATGAATGAAATTATTTTCTTTCGAACGAATTAGTGAATGATCTTTAATCGTATTACGATTACGCTTAAGATTAAATCTTAAGCATGTACAATCTGGAATAAATGGACCAAAATAGTATATTTTTTTTTGTTTCAATCAGAAAAAATTGTGTGATATTTGCCGAGACCCCCCCTCTCTCCAACATAAGATTAGATGAGATTTGACTCGACCCCCTCCCCCCCTTAAACATCTCACGTAATTTATGGACGCCCCCTAACCAAGTTTCAGTCTGTCAGGTGGCTGAATTCAACCATCACAACAGTCAACATATTGTTTCCCATAATATGCCTCACAGACGAATTTTGACAACGTGTGATAGTCACTTATAAACTATACTACAAACTGCGTGCCTGTGAATTATCGCAAGGGCGGATCCAGCAGCGCGGGGGGGGGGGTCATATAGTCAGATTTGGCGCGGGGGGGGGGGGTCATATAGTCAGCTTTGGCGCAGGGGGGGTCATATAGTCGTGGTCAAGTCACAGTGGGTACAGATGGACCCAGCCCAGGGGGGGGTCATGACCCCCATGACCCCCCCCCCCCCTGGATCCGCCCTTGTGTGAAGGACCGACCATATAATTTTAAATGCGGATTTCCGTACTTTGTGTAGATGCAGCTGCAGTTTGTTCTTGATCTCGATGGTCTCCGCAATGCGGCGCGTGAAGGCGCTGTTGCTGTTGCTCCATTGGTCCCAGATCTGCGTTGCCGACACGTTGATCAGATTCTCCGTGTCTGTACGCAACGGAAACATGCTGTACATAACCAACTGTCATCCTAATTTAAAGATTTGTGGCGTGTATGTACCTCCCTCCGGCACAAAGGAAAGATATTGACCGTTGAAGGGACGCGCGGGGGGACATTTCGGGTAGCGACACAGGCGCCAACGCAGGCGCAATGCGAGTCAGTCATTGGCCGGGACTCGATAACGAAAAGCCACGCGCGGTGCCTTGATTAAGTTAAGTTTGAAATAAAGTGTAATTATATAAACGCGTATTATGTTTCACTGAACCACACTCCACCCGGATAGTTACAGATTTTAATTTACATGGAACACCCATGTAAAGCCTAAGTTTAGGAAGCCATAATGACCTTATCATGTTGAACGTTGCTGTAGGTTTCCCGTAGCGAAATGGACCGGTCCATTTCGGACCGGCAAATGAAAGGACGGCTTGTATGATTATGATAGACATACGGGGAAATAGTTATCTTAATTAGTCATTACTGCATGTTTGACAGGCAGCGACAGCAAAACAGATGCTACGTTCCCACACAAATAGTAAAGCGCGGTTTAAATTAGCTTTTATGGAATGGAAGAATGGGAGCGTTGTGCTCGACTTCATGTCATGCGGATGAAGTTTGTACATGTGGATATAATTATATAGTGTAGTAGTGTAGTGTGGATTAATGTAGTGTACCTACCGGACAACATCTGCACGGCCTTGGCGCGCTCGGACTGCAGCGTGGCGGTGGCCGGTGGCTGTGTGCGTAATGCACTGAGGTGTAGTGTAGTGTGGGGTAGTGTAGTATACCGGACAACATCTGCACAACCTTGGCGCGCTCGGACTGCAGCGTGGCTGTGGCCGGTGGCTGTGTGTGTAATGTACTGAGGTGTAGTGTAGTGTCGAATAGTGTAGTGTACCGGACAACATCTGCACGGCTTTGGCGCGCTCGGACTGCAGCGTGGCGGTGGCCTGTGGCTGTGTGCCTAATGTACTGAGATGTAGTGTAGTGTCGAATAGTGTAGTGTACCGGACAACATCTGCACGGCTTTGGCGCGCTCGGACTGCAGCGTGGCGGTGGCCTGTGGCTGTGTGCCTAATGTACTGAGATGTAATGTAGTGTCGAATAGTGTTGTGTACCGGACAACATCTGCACGGCCTTGGCGCGCTCGGACTGCAGCGTGGCGGTGGCCGGTGGCTGTGTGTGTAATGTACTGAGGTGTAGTGTAGTGTGGGGTAGTGTAGTATACCGGACAACATCTGCACGGCTTTGGCGCGCTCTGACTGGGATCGTTGCAGCGTGGCGGCGGAGGCGGCGGCCCAGCGCGCGGTGTCGCACACCGTCGGGTCGTAGCGCTCTATGCCCGCGTAGTATTGCAGCCCCTGTGAACATGTGTTTATATCACGGAGGAAAAACAAAGAGGAGGTGTGGTAATTAAATTTCCTCAAGAAACGACGCGTGATAATTTGCGGGATGCGGGGTGTTCAGCTCCGCCCACTTCTCAATATTTCATCTATCGGCTAATAGCAAAACTACTAGCTTAGGTTGATATTTATGTTACTACGTAGTAGTTCAGCTATCTAACACTAGATGTCAAAAGTTTTGTAAATGGGACGTACTCAGAACTTGAAGCTTCAAAAAAATGAAATATGTTAGTAAAAAATTTGACCGATTTTAAAAATTTTAAGGTATATTTTTTATAATTTTAAAACATGTAATTGCTTGATGAAAAAAAATCCAGGCAGACCAGGCAGCAGACGGGACTCGAACCCGCACCCGCTCCCGTCTGCTGCCTGGTCCGCGTGGAATTTTTTGTAGTTATATTTTCTTTAGATTTAAATTTTAAGGTAGTTTAAAAATAATAGACAAAATGTTATTAAAAACATAATTTTATTAAAAAACATCAATTACATGTAAAAATAATAGTTTTGGTTAATTGTTTTTCATACCTTTAGAAGATATTTCCATTTTAAATGAATCTTCTGTGCAAAAAATTAATATTACATCAGAACGTTATCGCATTTTAAATAAAATGAGTTTCGAGTCTTCGGATAGCACGGATGTCGAGCCTATGCCTGACGATATGTTATTGGAATTTGATGAACAATTAAATACAACTATAGGTGACTCAAAGAATTATATGCTGATAAGTACGACGATAGTGTCCTTGATTTGATAAAAACTAAAAATAAGGGTGGTCTTACTTTCCCATCTAGAGATGTCATAAAAATATGTATACGGACCGAATGCAGTATGTTGTGTTAAATAGCAATCTTTGAATACTCCCTAACTTTCGTAAACATAAAATTGTATCGAATACATTAAAATCACTTATTGAACAAGATTGTTTCAAAAAATCGGCCAACCATATGTTTGACCAATCACCTACAGTTAATCATGTTGTACTTCTGATGAAATCGATCGCAGAAAAATATATTGATATTCGTTTTAAGCATTTTGCCACAATACAAAACGATAGGGCAACCAACCGACAACAATTAACCAAAACTATTATTTTTACAGGTAATAGGCTAGTTGACCCTTTTTGGAAAAAGGTTTTAAATGGTTAATAAATGTTCTATTAGACCGAAAAAAAATGTATTGTATTTTATTTAAACCTAGAAAGCTACAAATCTTTAATTTTAAAATAGACTTTTCATGGACATACAAAAACGCTGTCGGCCATTTTAGTTTATAGATTATCTATGCTATGACGGGAACTGTGGTAAACAAAAACTCGTAAACACGTAGAAAATTACTTAAAACTGAGTTTATAATAAAAAAAACATGATTTCTAATAAATACCACGAAAAATAAAGTAATTATCATTACTGTATTGTACGACAATATAAAAACACATCCTTGAAGACTCCAGGAAAGTTGTGGATTAAAGTACCGAAAGAAATTAACCTACGCAACTTTATTACACTTATTCATATGTTGTATCAGTTTTATGTTTATTACTACATTGTAATACTAAATGCACTGTACTTACATAAATGCCTTGTCGTTTCTCTGCTCCGCAGAGCAGAAATCGGGGTGTAGTGCAACAAATTCACCAACCATCAATGCCTCAATTCTTGGCAGATTTGTGCTTTCTGCTTTCACAAAGCCGGCACCCATAATTAGTTTTGTCAAAAAAAACTAAGTTTACTGTTTTTTCTTTCCTAAAGTTAAAAGTGTTTTAAGATAAATTTAGTCAGACGAAAGAATCCACCTACAGTAACACGCGAATGACATTTAGTTGTTTACCACAAGAGACGTCAAAATCATGGCGGATGTGGCGAACAGCGTTTTTAGTGTTTAAAAAATATTATTAAAAAACATCAATTACCTGTAAAAATAATAGTTTTGGTTAATTGTTGTCGGTTGGTAATGATAATTACTTTATTTTTCGTGGTATTTATTAGAAATCATGTTTTTTTTATTATAAACTCAGTTTTAAGTAATTTTCTACGTGTTTACGAGTTTTTGTTTACCACAGTTCCCGTCATAGCATAGATAATCTATAAACTAAAATGGCCGACAGCGTTTTTGTATGTCCATGAAAAGTCTATTTTAAAATTAAAGATTTGTAGCTTTCTAGGTTTAAATAAAATACAATACATTTTTTTTCGGTCTAATAGAACATTTATTAACCATTTAAAACCTTTTTCCAAAAAGGGTCAACTAGCCTATTACCTGTAAAAATAATAGTTTTGGTTAATTGTTTTCGGTTGGTTGCCCTATCGTTTTGTATTGTAGCAAAATGCTTAAAACGAATATCAATATATTTTTCTGCAATCGATTTCATCAGAAGTACAACATGATTAACTGTAGGTGATTGGTCAAACATATGGTTGGCCGATTTTTTGAAACAATCTTGTCCAATAAGTGATTTTAAAGTATTCGATACAATTTTATGTTTACGAAAGTTAGGAGTATTCAAAGATTGCGATTTAACACAGCGAATACTGCATTCGGTCCGTATACATATTTTTATGACATCTCTAGATGGGAAAGTAAGACCACCCTTATTTTTAGTTTTTATCAAATCAAGGTCACTGTCGTCGTAATTATCAGCATATAATTCTTCGAGACAGCTCTCACATTTGATCTTGGAATGTAAATATTTGACCACATATCCAGAAATATATGCTACTATTTGACGGCGCAAATAGTCACCTATAGTTGTATTTAATTGTTCATCAAATTCCAATAACATATCGTCAGGCATAGGCTCGACATCCGTGCTATCTGAAGACTCGAAACTCATTTTATTTAAAATGCGATAACGTTCTGATGTAATATTAATTTTTTGCACAGAAGATTCATTTAAAATGGAAATATCTTCTAAAGGTATGCAATTTCCTCTAAAACCTTCTTTCAGTTCTGTATTTATTAGGGTTTTTTTGTAAGCAGCTTTAAATTGATGGGAGGTTGGGTTATTATTAGTTCTTCCATGTGCCCTTATTACTCCAAAAAATAGCTCCAAATGATCTTGTGAAAATTTGTACAGAGTAAGATACTTTAGTGCCTTTTCCTCTTCAATTAGGCGATTGTACAAAAAAAGTGTACTGTTTATGCATGTTAAAAGGCCTATAAAGCCAGTTTTTCGGTTTGTAGCGATAACAGGTTTATCTTCATCGGGAGCTACTAAATAGGTCAAGAAATACTTAGCAAATTCTAAATACGCTTTTGTTTTAGAAATATTTTTTTCAAATAACGGTTTTTTTGTACTCCATCTGACACATGTTTCGCGAATTAAGAATGTCAAAAACATTGTTAATTAAGCGTATAAAATTTATTGTTGCGGCTGCATTTTTGAATGTTTCATCACTTTTCTCACAAAGTTGGAGTGCGTCGGCTACACTATTGCTGAAAAGTTGACTGGCTAATTTGACTTTCATTTTTTGGCGCTGAAAGTCTATATGTTTGTCTTTTAGCTTGTTTCCAAGATGCAGACCTTGCGACTTTTGCAGGTTATTAAGCTTGATGAGATAGGACCATTCAATGTTATTACCCTGGTAATCAAGAAATCTCTTTTTGTTCTCAAAGGCGTTGCGCACAAGTTTAAGCATATGGCACGCGTCGAGGAAGACTGCTATTTCGTATCCTGCACTTGGATGTGGAAAAGTAGTTTTCATTGCTTGAGGTTCTAACGAACATCCTAATTTTTTGAGCATTGCAATATTTGCAGCGCAGCCATCCAGCGTCAGTGAAATTACGTCAACACCATTTTCTTCGCCTTTGTAAAGACACTGTTTTACTATTAAAGCCCGTTGTTCCCCGGTCATAGAATGAATTAAAAAGAAACCCACTGGTAATTTCCACCTCTCAGTTTGAGAAACAAGTAACAGTACTAAAGCCTGAGACGCTTGTTCTGAGTTGTCCTTTTGGATGTCGTTAAGTCCGAGGTCAACATAGCCATGATATTTATTGCCATCCCATTCAACGTGCTTTTTTATAGCAATCTCATCCATCATCAGACTGCACAAAGCGCGTTTGCCGGAGACATTCTTTTTGTGGTTTAATATTTTAAAAGCTTCAGCTGTAAATCCAGCTTCACCGTCGACAGTCTCATACCATTTAGAAATGGTTCTTGGATGCGGTAAGCAGGTGTCAAATGTTTTTCTCACATACGAGTACGCATTTGGCGAATAATAATAAAGTGATAAGGCGAATGATCGGAGGGCTGGAGAATATTTCTTCTTTAAGGGAAGTTTTTTGATTTTTGAAATTTGTCGCCCAACCAAGTCTCTCATCTTTATATTTATCGATGATAAAATTTCTGCGTCCTCTCCCTGCAAAAGGTGTTTGCTTTCTAATTCTTTAATTACTGCATTTGAACTTCTAACCTGAAACAAAAGCAAAAACGAAGGTACGTCGTGATTTGGAAAACAATATTTGGTGGTATGTAAAGTAAAATAGTGGCACTAGATAAGTAGGTACCTTCTTTTTCAAACGCTTAACTTGCATTTGTAGTCTTCTGATTTTTAAACCAGTTTTTTTTTCTTTACATCGAAGTTGTTCTATTTCTTGCTTAAGCTTCTTTTTTCTAGGCGAATCATTTAGTATCAGAAATTCATCTAAATCACTTGTGGTAGGGTCCACAGATGATTTTACAGGCTCTGGTAATTTTCTTTTAAGCTGTAATGTAAAAAATAATATTATAAACTAGTTATTTTTCCAAAATAATTAAAACTCGGTTACGCAAATAACATCCAAACAAACCGATAAATCCAGTTTTAAACTAGGTAAAGTGCCCTTCTTTAATTTTTTAAGACCTTTTTTTGTCACTATGAAGTCCGCGTCATTGAAATGGCAAGAACAAATCTTTGTGTATTTTGTTGGTGTCCAATCCGGTCTATTAAGTTTTGAAATCCATTGCTGTTTTAAATTA